AATCTAAACAGGACTTCCCAAATATAATCCCACTGAGTATTGGAGTCCAGTCTGGTTCGTTCCTCAGAAAAATGTTCTGGCGAAGAGAGGAGGTGGATATCCAGACTCGGGTGTGTTCCTTCACCACACACAGTGAGCAGGTAAAAACCAGAAGCAACCTCCGGTTCTGAAAAGTGAATCCAAAGCTTCATGTGTTAAAGCTGCATTCTCTCTAGTGTCCACCAGGGGGCGACTCCTCTGGCTGTATAGAAGTCTATGAGAAAATGACTCTACTTCTCTCTTGATTTATTACCTCAGTAAACATTGTAAACATGAGTTTATGGTCTCAATCTCTAGTTTCAAGTCTTCTTCAATACAGCATGATGTTCATTTAGTACATTATGGTCCATTTAGAGTCAAACAGACCATAAAGCAGGGGATGCTTTAGGGCGGGGCTACACGGTGATTGACAGGTCTCTACCAGAGACGTATATGGTGTCTCTACGTCACTCCTCCTTAGTCCAGATATGGTCACTTCCTGTTCACTGCAAGATCTTGGCATCTTTTTTCTATATTTCTATATTATAGTTGAGAGAAATGATTCTTACTTGCAGTCCTAGTCTATTTCACTGCACGTGTGTCTTTTATTCTACAAAGATGATCTCAGAGCTGTTACATTTATGTATAATAATAAAAATCCTCCAGTCATCACATTAAAGTAAAAGCTCTCCTCCCTCCTCACCAGCTGACACGTTGTTATAAATGTTAATGATGACATCATAACAGATGTGTGTTTGTATATTTCAGTTTTAGAGAAAGTATGATGCACAGCGGGAGGGAATCCCCTCTCTGGTCCACTGGTTTCCTCTCAGTGCTGACTCACTGACACGGCTCCACACACCATCTCACCTCCTCGCTCTTCTGTTTTCACCACGGTGATGCAGCGGAGAGAGAAGCATCAAGAGAGAAACTGCATCTTGAGTCTTTGTTTGTTTCCTGCAGCTATCGAAGCGTTTCTCATCACGTTGTCCAGACGAGCAGAAAAACACACTTCAACAATCATATATATATGTGACTCTACTTTTAACTTTTTAAACAAATGTTTGTGATCACTGCAGGAAAACAACCACTTTACAAAATGTATTTTATATATTGTATATTTATAATATATAATATATCATAAATAATATTATTTATGTTATATTTTACGAATATTATATGTATATTAATAAATGTATTGTATTATGAATGTAATTTATAAAATGTTTTCCATTTATGTTTCCAGGTTCTTATCTTTTCCAGAAGAGAATATTGAGAAAACCCCTCAAACAATATCAGTCCTGTTTTATGACTTGTGTTTTATTCTACTTTGATGATGCAGAATAGATTCTCAGACTTGTTCTTGGTTAGTCATGTGATATTTTCGACCAGTATGAGCAGTGGGGGGGGGATTAGAAATGTTTTATTCAGGCGGCATCCTCTGGTTCTGCCGAGTGAAGTCAAAGCTTCATGTGTTAAAGCTGCATTCTCTCTAGTATCCACCAGGGGGCGACTCCTCTGGTTGTATAGAAGTCTATGAGAAAATGACTCTACTTCTCTCTTGATTTATTACCTCAGTAAACATTGTAAACATGAGTTTATGGTCTCAATCTCTAGTTTCAAGTCTTCTTCAATACAGCATGATGTTCATTTAGTACATTATGGTCCATTGAGAGCAGGGGTGTCCAAACTACGGGCCGCGGGCCAATTGCGGCCATAGGTCCATTTTGAATTTGCCCGCAGCTTCTCCACAAAATAAGAGCAATCAAAGAAACGTTTAGCCCGGATGATGACATGTTCTACACTGGTTTCCGAGTGAGAACAGAAAGTTAAGCAAATGGCAGCTAGCCAGCTCGCTCAACAACAGAAACACAGTTGTGCGGCGAATCGAAGACTCGCCGGCTAACCTAAAACATCAAGTGTCATATAAAGCTTGTGCATTTTTTTGCGGGGAGTTGACGATCATTTTTGCATTACGGAGGAGCCGCTTGATCTTAGGAGTCTAAAGAGCACAACAACGGGTAAGGACATGTTTGAAGCTGTGTCGGATGCAAATGACAAGATGGGACTGAATGGGACAAGCTGTGTGGAGTTACAACGGATGGGCCTCCAGCTATGAAAGGCGAGCGCAAAGGAATGGCCTCTATGGCGCGCGCCAAGGTGCAAGAGAGCGGAGGTGAGGCTGTTGAAATGCAGCGTATCATCCATCAAGAAGCCCTCTGTGCCAAGACAGTCCAGCTGGGCGATGTGATGAACACGGTTGTGAAAACTGTCAACATAATTCGAGCACGAGGGCACAACTGCGCAACTTCAATGTTGCGCACTTCCCCACGCAGTCCGAAGTCAAATGTGCTTTTCCAAAGGCCAACCTTTCTGCTAGAAAGGTGAAATACGTGTCCGTGATTTCAAGAGTCTTCTCTCATTGAGAAAGACACCGAGCTGTTCTCAACTCCCTTCTTCTTGAATGATGAGTCTGTTCGGCTCAACATACATATGTGAGCAAACATTTTCTCTGTTACATCTGAAGAAAAGCACATTGAGAACCACATTTGATTGATTTTGGTCACTTTAACACACTAGGGGTGAGGCGATATATCGGACCTCCAGTGAGTGGCCCAGTCCTTGGTATATTTTTCTGTATGTGACCCTCAGTGAAAAAAGTTTGGACACCCCTGCTTTAGAGTCAAACAGACCATAAAGCAGGGGATGCTTTAGGGCGGGGCTACTGTGATTTCCCTTTTTTAAAAGTAATGATGTAATTTGATGTTTGGAAGTGAAGCCTCTACTTTACCTGTGAGAACACACACGTAATAATTATTCTCACTTTTTCTACTCTGTGCTTTCATTTCCCGATAACCTGTTTTGTTTTGTACTTCAACTTCAAGCTGTTTCTAATCATCATCAAATGTTCGGTTTCAAAATAAAAGCGAGCTTGTGTTTTACTTTCCAAGGAATCATCATCACACTCGTGTCCTCCTGTGATTTCCTCCTTGAATCGTTCACAATAATCCAGTGTGTGTGTGTGTGTGTGTGTGTGTGTGTGTGTGTGTGAGTGGGGGGGATTTACAGAGGAATGTTCTGGTTTCTCATGAAGTGACTTCCATAGAAACAGGGGAGGTTGTTGGAGGTTGTTGGGTTTCACCCAGAGACTATGGGTCTGCTGTGTTTTCCTGTGTAGTAAAGAGAGTCTCGTCAGGACCGTCATCCTCTCGCTTCCGCTGCCGTTAAACAACATCCTGTTCTTCCATTTCTAAAGCATACAGCACCAGATCTCCACAGCTGTGCATTACACACTGAACACATGCACGCTGCTGTTTCATTACGACGTAAAGAAGAGGCTCACATGTTGTGAGAAGTTTAAACGTGGCTTTGAGGGTTCTGGTTTGCACGGATTAAGATTACTTTTATTACTTTTATTGGAACTATTTTCTACCAATAAGTGATATAAATAGACCAGATATCTTGTGACAGTCCTGTATTAAAACATATTACATCTACGAGGTGTGATGGAAGACAATAACTTGTTTTTTAGCAGCTTGCGTGTGTCGTTAGTCTGAGTTTATTCCAGATAAATGGAAAATATATAAAAACTGAACATGGAATCCATTTTTTTTTAGCTACAACTAGCAAAAAGAAATGTCTCCTCTACGGATTATAAAGTTCAGTTTGATTGAAAGTGAAGCAGGATTGTTTTAGACGTCTTTCTGATATATTTTGTCCTCATTGGACATCAGTGTGATTATTAGAAACACCTGTCGATACAATAAACTGACTACTGATCGTATCAAGTGTTGATAATCAATAAAAATTCACCTTTGTTGTGGTATTGTTTTTACTGAGGTTGTAAAAATACATTTCTCCAAATATCCTTCACTGTTTTTGACTCATTTGTTTTACATTTCAATTGCTTTATGTCGTCTTATTATTATTTTACTGATTTGGCTTCTTCTGATTTTGAGTTATTTTGACCTTTTTTAAAAAAAAATAAACCTTTATTTATACATATTTGTATAATGTTGAGACAACGACATGTTAGTGGAATCAAACAAGAACATTTTAAAGTGAAATTAAATGAGTAGAACATCAAATAAATAAATGGCTGTTTTTTAAAATCTATATTAAAAAATATATTAAAAACAAGCATTGCAAACGGTAGTTACTCAACATGAACATTAATTCAAATAAATACATATAATTAGGATAGTGTGTGTTTAGTGTTTGAGTTTTGATATATTCTTAAAATTCATTAAACAAATCCAGTTAAGTTGGGGATAACCTTTATTAATTCACATTTATGTATGTAAAATGTACCATATATAATAAATACATTTACAATGAATACAATTTTGTGTGTATTTATGTTCAAAAGTCAACTCAATTGTGATTTTATTCATCGTTTTACACGATATATAATATTTAATTTTGTTTAAAAAGTAACTGATTCTGAGTTATTATTGAATAAATTACATTATTGATATATTTTTTTAATTTGTGTGGATGTAGATTTGATGTATATATATAAATGTATTTATTTGTAAAGTGTAATATTTCGATGTGTACTTCTTTAATCTTTATAAATACATAAATTGCTTTTTTTCAACTGAGCTCCACCTGCCTGGAGACGGGGTCCATGATTACTATGGCAACGCAGAAAACCTCGTCGACCAATCAGAAGCGTCGTTCGGCGCATTGGTACAAAAGCAATCTGATCTGTTTTACGTCTGTGTGATCCGCCGCTGATGAAAGTTTTGAGTTCTTTTATTTTTAAGGGTAAATATACACATTCTATGTTTTATATCTTCCACCACACAACGCTTTATAACGTTAATATTTTACTTTTTAAATCATAAAAGTGACGCTACACAGACGGAGAGGAGGGACTATATCGTGTCATGGTTGCGCATCTATTTTTTTCTTTGGGTCGTACTTCAGCTGTATAAAGCAAGCGTGACTGCGCGTGCAGGTTCAAATACCGACTTCTCCTCAGCTCCCTGGCGTCGCACGTGTTTTGTCTCCCAGACGTTGGTGGATTATGTGAAGTTAACATCTTCTCTTTCTGACGTTCAACGCTTTCAGAGGACGCTTTTTTTTAAGGGGGAAAAATGTACGTATTGCTTTTAGTACTCTCTGTATTTTCTGTGTTTTTTAATGTCTTACGTTTTGAAAGTAACGTTAGAAAACCCTAACGCTAAATTAAAAAAAGTTACCGCAGTCGTTTGCTCCTGAAACCACGTGACATCAGTTTTTTGTAACGTCAGACGCACGGTTTTCCGTTTTATTGATAAATTCAAACGTGACTTTGCTGAATTCATAGATCGATGATTCGTCGCCATATGGCTTAATATTAAGTCAAATTTAAGGGTAATCCTGTCTTAATAAGCAACGTAAGTTGTTAGTTAAAACCAGGTGTTTTAAAAATGTTTTAATAGCGGTTAGTTACCGGTGAAATTAAAGTTTAAATGTCGCATTCGTCAGTCAGCTGGAGCAGATAATTACCGTAACGTGTGTATTAAACGTGTACGTTAAACTTACTTTACTGTGGCTTTTTTATTTATTTAAACACTGTTTAAAAAATAAAAAAGAGGCTCACGCGCGGGGAGCTGTTCTAGAAGCCTCACGAGCTCTGTGCTTTTTATACTGCGCGTGTGTGTAACGGAGAGCGAGCAGCTTGTCTCGTGCGCACATTCTGTTGCGCTCGTGCTGACTGGCTCATGATGCCGCTACTTGTTTCATGAGATTTTTTTAACAGCTGGCAAGCTGTGGTTTATTTATTACTTTTATTATATGTACTTGTGATTTGTGTTTATTGATGATCATTGTTAAATTGTGAAGTTGTAGAGTTTAAAAATGAGTTTTAAAATGAGTTTTTAAATGATGTGATTTGTAGTTTTTTAGCCTTGACTACCATCTGTTTCTCTCCCCTGTCGTCTCAGTTGATCTGAACTTTGTTGAGAAGATGGATAACCAGGAGGAATCAAAGAGTAGTTCGGTCAGTGTCCTCAGCTGGGAGCAGGTGAGCCGGCTCAACGAGGTCCTGACGGAGGTGGTGCCCGTTCACGGACGGGGGAACTTCCCCACCTTGCAGGTGCGGCTGAAGGACATCGTGTACCGGGTGCGATCCCGCCTGGAGCTCAGCGGCATCAGGGTCAAGGACGTCCGGCTCAACGGCTCCACGGCCAGCCACGTGCTGGTGAAGGACGTTGGCTGGAGCTACAAGGACCTGGACGTCATCTTCAGGGTGGACCTGCCGCACGAGGCCGAGTTCCGGCTCATCAAAGACATGGTGCTGGGCACCCTGCTGGACTTCCTGCCCGAGGGTGTGAACAAGGAGAAGATCACGCCCATGACCCTCAGAGAGGCGTACGTCCAGAAGCTGGTGAAGGTGAACACGGAGCAGGACCGCTGGAGCCTCATCTCGCTCTCCAACAACAACGGCCGCAACGTGGAGCTGAAGTTCGTGGACTCGATACGCCGGCAGTTTGAGTTCAGTGTGGACTCCTTTCAGATCGTGCTGGACTCCATGCTCTCGTACTACGAGCTGGCGCAGACGCCGATGTCGCCGGCGTTTCACCCGACGGTGAGCGGTGAGAGCGTGTACGGGGACTACGCCGCGGCGCTGAGCCACCTGAGCAACAAGCTCATCGCCACCAAGCGGCCCGAGGAGATCCGCGGCGGCGGCCTGCTCAAGTACTGCAACCTGCTGGTGCGGGACTTTCGGCCCGCCAGCGAGGAGGAGTTCAAGGCCCTGGAGCGCTACATGTGCTCACGCTTCTTCATCGACTTCCCCGACATCGGCGAGCAGCAGCGCAAGGTGGAGGCCTACCTCCAGAGCCACTTCGTGGGCGAGGAGAAGAGCAAGTACGACTACCTCATGATCCTGCGGCGCGTGGTCAACGAGAGCACGGTGTGCCTGATGGGCCACGAGCGGCGGCAGACGCTCCACCTCATCTCGCTGATGGCGTTCCGGGTGCTGGCGGAGCAGAACGCCATCCCGGACGCGTCCTGCGTCACCTGCTACTATCAGCCGGCGCCGTACGTCCGAGACCACAACTTCAGCAACTACTACGTGGCCAACCAGAACATTCCAACATGGCTGCCATGTAACTGACGCATATAAGAAAACAAGTGGAAGTGCTGCTGCTTTGGAGAAGAGAGGAGTAGTTACAAAAATACTTCTTCCCCCCCCCCCCCCCACTGAAAAAATATATATTATTGAGGCAATAAATACTTTGTTCCTCTCAAGGCACAATTATATTCAAGTGGACAAGTGTTTTGCTTTTGGAACCCTTTCTTATTCCTCATCTACAGAGTTCTTTAGCTCATTGAATAGGAAGTGAGATTTTTAAGTGTTTACTTTTTTTTTTTTTTTTTTTTTTCTCTCATCATGTTTGATTGTTTCCCTGTTTAACGGAGTTTTGTGCCTTAACCTCCAGGTGTTACCCCCCCCCAATGAGTTAATTATGGGCTATATTTTGCAACAAAAAAATGGGAAAAGTAACCTGTTATATAGCCTTACATTTGGTTTCCCCCTGTGATTATTAAAAAAAAAAAAAAAGATAAAAATGTAAAAAGGCAGAAAAAAAGTGTAAAATATTGAAAAATGGTATTATTGGGGAAAAGGGTAATGTATTTAAAAAAAAAAAAAAAAAAAAAGCACAAATGTTTAAAATATTGTTCTCGGGGGGGGGGGGGGGTGGCACATTAATGATCAGACTATAAAGGAGGGAACACTAGAGTCACTTTGTTTTAATTCATCTTGACACGCGTGTGGTCTCCTTAAAGATGCCTTCAGTGCCTGAGATTTGTAAAACATGCAAGAAAAATAACGTGCGTATTTTTATTTTCCCACTGTGAACGTCGGTGTAGGACGACCCGGTTTACTCAGCCCTGTACTGTTCAGCGGAGCTGTGCAGTGAGACAGTTTAGCCCTCCGAGAGTGCTGAGACCTGTTGAGATGCCGCGCTGTTGGCCTGCAGCGAGAGAGCCGGCTTTTTGGGAGAGTCCTGGAAGTGACTGACCCCTTAAAAGGAGCAGCACGTGGCGGACCCTGCCCGCCAGGGTCATTCCTAACCCCCCCCCCCCCCCCCTCTCAAAACCATTACAGGAGCTCCTTCTCTGACGCAGCTCGGTGACTGGCTGTAGTTTGACAGCCGGTCTATAATTATCTTTTTTTTTTTTTTTTTTTCTTTTTTTTTATTTGGGCCCTACCACCTTACATGTGAGGGGTGCTGAGTCACTTCCTGTCCACGTTTGAACCCCTTTTGTGGGCCTCGGACACCAGTGGAGTGCTACTGGTATGTTGAGAGGAACGCCAGTCAGGCTCTACAAACCTATGAATTACTATTTGTAGCTTGGCCTATTATTAGCCGTTCATTCTGAGCACTGCTCAGCAGACGTCCTGTTATCGGTCAGGATTTAAACTGAAGCTTCTCTTTAACCTCTCGTGTCTTTCTGACCCTCGTGATTCCTGCTTCGCTGCCTCGTGGCTCGTTTTTTTTTGTGTTTTACACCAGATAACCAGGATTATCTGTCTGGCCCACATCATGCTAGAAGATAAGGTTGTCCTCGTCTGCAGGTCTCACCCGCCGTGGTCAGGACATGAACTATCGTCGTGTGTTTTTTGCGGGGGGGGGGGTTTCTCTGAGGTGCCACTCGCACGGTGTCTCTCTGGACCAAAGTCACAACCAGCAACTGAAGCACTCAAGTGCCTTTCTTTTGGGGAGCTTTTTTAAAGCGTTTTTTTTTTAAATGGTGATCAGGACGGAAACACCTTGTGAAAGATTAAACATCCTTTTAGTTCATTAGACGATTCATATATTTCTGTTTTACGTTATGTCGTTTCTGTCATTCCTGTCTCAGTCTCCTCCTCGGCCTTAGTTTTACTCCCTCTCTGTCTTTGAGCCACTGGCGGCCATGTTGACCTTCCAACTATTCTAAACGCTCATTATATTATATGCCTCCCCCTTTTTTTCATTTAATGGACTGCCCCGAATTTTGTAACTCTGAAGCGAACTTTGTTCTGCCGACGCTTTGGTCCACACCAAAGCAATGCCTACTGGTGCACTGAGGGGCCACGCTTTGGCCCAGTAGCTATAGGGGGGAGGGGGCAGAGACCCCCATACTAACAGAAGCACTTTAAAGAGGCCTTGGTTTACTCCAAAAAGGGATGTAAATATGCCTATGTGGTCAATTGCTGGAGCTGGTTCTCAGGGACATGATGTGTTTTTGTCTTGACAGTGTCTCCTCCTAATACCCCCCCCCCCCCCCCTTAACTTGGTGTCCTTTCCTTCCTGAACTCGCTTCTCTTCTTACCCTAAACTGCCGGATCTTATTGGAGTGGATCAGTAGCCCTGAAGGTAGCCAGCAGACTTCAGCTCTGGTTTAGGGTTCATCATGTTGCTCTGAAAACCTTCATCCACCTCATCATCGCTCAATGTTTTAGTGATCTTGTTTGAAAGCCAAGGGGAGCATTCCCCAGTTTAGTCCCTCCCCTCTGAGTGATGATGAAGAGTTGGAACATCTGAACACCAGCAGCGTCAGAAGTCTTCTTCTTCTTGTGCTTTCTGTTAGTTGACGTCTCTTCAGTGAGCGACGTCAAAGAGGATGATCCTCTGGTGTCCGCTCTGCTCTTCGTGTGTTTACGGTTGTAGTTTTTTTTTGTTTTTGTTTTTTTTCTTCTTCTCTGACTGAATATGTTAAATGGAAGCTTGACCTCCCACCCCTCTAGATGAGAGCGGGGGTGATGTGTGAATGTCCATGTGTGAACCTTTTTGTGGCAGAAGAAGAAAAGGATGAAGTGTATTTTACCCCTTTTTTTTTTTTTTTTTTTTTTCTGCTGTAAACCATGTTGGTCTCTCTCTCCTCGCCTTTGATCGTCCTGCTTAGTTTGGGCCTTTGTTTATTAGTACAGTGTTTTTTTTTGTTTAAGTTGATGCCTGTAGATGTATTCTTTGCTGGTGGGGGGGTGCAGAGAGAACTGTAGTGGTGCTAGAGGATCTCTATGTCTGGAGATGGTTTAGTGTTTTGCAGCAGATGTTTACGTGTGTGTATGAAGGGATGCATATATATATATATATATATCTCTATATATCTATATATCTATCTATATGATATATGATCTATATATCATATATCTATATATCTATGATATATGATATATATCTATATATATCTATATATCTATCTATATGATATATGATCTATATATCATATATCTATATATCTATGATATATGATATATATCTATATATCTATCTATATATCTATCTATATGATATAGATATAGATATAGAGAGAGAAATGGTAAAAACAAAAGCTTTTTTTTTTTTTTTTTGTCGGCTTTGTGACTTCACGAGTTCTACTATTTCATTTTTCAGGACTTTTACCTCACTTGAGTTTTTTTCCTTTTGAATGGAAATGTACATCAGGAAGCGAATATGAATAAAGAGTATTAAATGCAAACAATGCTTCAGCTGTTTCTGTTGACTGAGACCCTGGCATGTGGAGCTTTTATCTTTAATGTTTAATGTCTGGTTCTATTTAACCTTAAACAAACCTTCCAACGTTCACAGCTACACCTACAACCTTTAAAATGTTTTTTGTTTCAGATATTTTATTTTGTCCACCGGCTATAAAACTCTTAATATAAATATTTGTTTCATTATTCAGCCTTTATGCTTTTATTAAAGACGGCTGCGTCATTACGAAGGTGAACAAATAGAAAATATTGTACCTTTTAATCAAAAGTGATTTTCTTTAAACTGCTCGTGTTGCAGTGAACTCGAGGAGACGGTGCTGCAGGAACGAGCAGCAGAGTTTAAGGACGACTTTACAACGTGCAGCAATAAATCAGCAGGACAAATAACGGCTTAATGCAACACAGACTCTATAAAACAGAGTACACGTAGCAGCAGAACAAGCTGAGCAGGAACTGTGAGGGGTCAAGAGGTCCTCGCGATGCCTTCAAGGACTGAGGTGAGAGGGGGGTCATCACGATCTTGATCCACTTTTTAGATTTGTGTCGCTTTGTGGTCGTGTTGGGCCTCTCTTGTTGCTTTGTCTCTGTAGTTATTTTAAATCTTTGTGGTCATTTTAAGTCTCTGTAGTTCTGAGTCTCTGTGTAGTCGTTTTGCATCTTTGTGGTGGTTTTGTGTTTCTTTGAGGTCATTTTGAGCCTCTTGCTGGTCGGTATGTTTCTCTTTGTGAGACATGTTGTAGGTGAAGACCAGGGGGCCCCCTGGTCCTGTGCCTGGATGGCCTGTTTATGAGAATACATATTTAATCTTTGAACGCACTTACAGAAAGTATTAGCATGTTTCTGATTGCTTTAGTTACCACGCGGTGCAGTTGTTGTGCTCTGCTGACTTCTTCTCTTTCTTTGTGGGCGTCCCGACGATGACTTTAACCAGAGATGTAATTTCCCCTTTAAGTTTGCTGTAAGTGTTTTCCCTTTCCTTCTGACGCAAGCCATCAATGCTCGTTACGTCATCCCCCCCATCCCCCACCCTGAGTCACTATAGCTGCCATTCATAAAACGCGTTGCCTTATCTGCAGGGAATGACTCGCAGTGTTGACTTTGGTGACGCAGCAGCGTGCCCTCAGCGACCTCTGTCGTCTCACACGCTGCTCTACAGAGCGTATTCATCTTTCATTCTTTTCATCTATAACTCATATTATTTGTGGTTTTCCTGTGAAGTTCTTCTCTTCCATCCTCTGGAGAGCTTATCGTTTATCAACACCTTTCTCAACCTGCGGTTCTTTTTATAACGTGCAAAGCAGCGCGTGGCTGTTCAGGGCAAAGCTGCAGTGTTTCAGGCAGCTACGCCTCCCGTCAGGTGAACAGGTCAACTATATTCTTCAGAAAGCCTCACAAACACCAGCAGTTGAAAGCTTGCAAAAGTTGGGTGTAATATTTAATAATGAAAATCATGAAATTTAAAAATCCAGTCTGAGTCCAAACTGTAAATCTCTTGTTGTTCTTCGTGGAATCCATCGTTTTACGGAGAGACGTGATGATCTGATCTACCGAGAAATCACACGACCGACGGATGTCTTGGCTCAAACCGGTTTCCTTTTTCCATTGTTCCCTTTCACTCTCTGGATAATTCACAGAGCACGCTGTCAACAGATTTAATTGGAGATAGAGTTCACAGAAGAAGAAATCAAATTCCCCTCATGTTTCCAAGCTTATCTTTATTATCACTGGAATTTAGCTGTTTTAGGTGTCTTGAAGAAATGCAGCCGTTTATGAGCTTTCTTCACCAGGATGGAGTTGAGTGACGACCATGTTTGTGATGCCGATTCCCAGGAAACTTCAAACTGTTCACTCGCTCCACCTCAGCTCCATTGATGTAGACGAGGGTTGTGTCTCTTCGCCTCCTTTTTTCCTAAAATCAAGACATTTTCCTCTGTGTTTTCGCCTTTTGTTCACACACAGTTGTCGAATATGTCGATTTTTCCTGGTTGACGGGTCAGTTTCTCAGATTCCAGGACAGAATTGAAGCATGTTTTCTTCCTCGTAGGGTTAGGGTTCATTTGCAGGTTCGTCTTTCAGTTCCTTCTTCCTTCTTTGTGTTGGTAGTTGTCGTTTATGGTTTTGTTAATATCGCTGCATCTGGAGGACACGGTCTCTGTTCTAGTTTCTTCTTCATGATCATCTTCCTGTGTTCACATTGAAGTTTAGAGCATCGCTGAAAAAACAAGTGAAAAGCATTTAGAGCCAATATCCTTTAAAACATATTTCTATATAAATCTGATGTTGACGGAGACACCAGAGTGCAGCTCTTGTCCCTTTAAACTCAGTTTGTGTATAAAGTTTATTCATATTTGTCCACAACTCACTTCCTTTTCTCCTTTTCTTTTGATTGAGTCGTCACTTTTTTCACACTTAAATGACTCGTTTCCTGAGTTTCAGAGGTGCAAACAGAGTGAAGAGACAACCGGCCTCCATGAGGGAGTTTTAGGGCCTCTACAAAACCACACAACCCCCTCCCCCTGTATGTGAAAACACAATTACACACACACACACACACACACACACACACACACACAAAAAAAACCCTCCAGCAGTGCCCGGACAGG